CACGATCGACTTCGACAGCTTCAGCGCCGAGGCAAAGCACGCAACTTGCTTGTTAATGGTATCCCTCCAATGTATGTTGAGGCTTTCACCGGTTCTATTGTATTCGAATCGATTAAAGGCTCAATGTGCCGCTGTATGTCCGTGTTCAATCAATAACTGAAATACCTGTGAGTGCACTCTGAATTGCTGTTGAATGCTTCAGCTACACGACCGAAGAAGTTGCTGGCAGTTTGGTCATTGCCTACTACAGAGTCGAGGGACACACTCAGCCATGCTTGGCAAAGCTGGATCTGCTCGTGCACTGTGAAGTTCTTCGAGCGCTCCTTCATTCCGCAACAAACCCAATCGCGAAGTGAGTTCGCTTCTCTACCGGGTGTTTGATTGGCCTATTGATTTACTGAACTCCACCAGACCAACAAAAATACACACAAATTTGTTGGGTTTTTTGTTGGTCTGGTGGAGTCCAGTAAATTTTTATTGGGCTACTGGGCTGGTGCGAACGCGTTTTTGGGAATTTCAGCAAAGTTCAGTAAATCATCCGGTTAAGTTACTGGAATCAGGCAGTTACTGGCACCGGTGCAGATGCTCTTACAACTGGTATTTTAGCTAATTCACTGGGTTTTATAAATGCCAAAAAACTCTGAGCAATAATAATCACATGTGATGCTGAAGTGACCAAACACCTTGGCTATGAATTCCATCGCGTAGTACACGCTACCTGCATTTACTATGCGACGGAACAAGAAGATGGCGTGGTTTTGTACGATGTGGCACCGTACTTACATCGCTGTAAGGTAGAACTCCGGCGCTTGTACTCGCTGTGTGTCATTTGTAATATCAAAAGTTGGCCATGATGACCAGTGAATTGTGCACTTTGGTCCCGAGAATAGCAGATAATATAACTTCTGTATTACTATACCCGTATGTGAGTGACAGTGAATCACAACGGCGATGGGCATGTCGAGTTAGCAATCCCTTCGCCAGCGTAGGAAGTTAACGCCAACAAGTAGAGCTAACGTTAATGTATGCAAGACAAGTCAACAGGGTTAAAGTGCTCGAGTCCCATGGTAACTTAGTACAATCAATCTATTCAAAGTAATAGTCGATTTTCGAGCTCGAGGTGAGGACAGCCGTGGATTCCATGTCAGTGAGCCATCGTTTCGAGCGCTGAATCATTTGGACAATGTATGCCGCACACACTTCAGGCCTTCGTTGGGGCAGGGTATGGCCACAGCCGGCCACGACGACCGTGTTGATGCATTCATGACGGTGGATGTTGTCCACACAGCTCACGTCCAAGATCTGATCGTCGCTGCCCCACAGCACAAGCGTCGGGGCCTCAATGTCTGCGAGTCTGTCTTCCAAGGTTGTTCGTTCGGGTAGCATATCGCTGAGGATTTTGTCCACGACTTGCTTTCTATCGGCTTGGTGTTTGGCATAGAATCGACTTAGGAACCGATTGCTCCTTGTGCGAAGTTTGTGGGAGGTTGGCGTCGCGAGATGGTTATGATGGAAGCTACTGCTCGTGGTGTTCCGTCTACTAGAGATAGGGTGGCCGGGTTTGGCTTCGGCATACCAGAGCAGCGTTTGCATCGCGTCGACTGTCGTCGCTTGCATCAGGTTCACGCCCGTGTCTTCTAACATGGCCAGCACGGGGCTCCTAGTCGGCATCGAAATACCCGCGGGACAGAGCAGCGTCACACTCGACACCAAGTGAGGAAACGTCGCGGCAAACACCCCCGCGATGAGCCCCCCCATAGAGTGCCCCACGAGATGCACGGGGATGTCGGGGCCCACCGTTTTATCTAAAAACGTGAGCAGGTTTCGCACTTGGGCGCCGACGCTGTAGTTGTGAAACGGGCTCGATGGGGTCGTCGCGCCGTGCCCAGGCAGATCCGGGGCCAGGAGCCGCGCCGGCTGGGCTAAATACCCCATGATGTTCAACCACGTATCTTTTTCTGAGCTAAACCCGTGGATAAACACCACGGTTACGCGACTCGACGACGAATTGTCTAGGTATGACCACGTGTACCCGCCAGCACGAACGGACCCGACGGCGACGCCGAGTTTGGAGCGGCGCCGCTGGAGGAAGAGCAACTCGGTGGCCTTTCGAAGGAATGACACGGAGAACGACGATGTGGGCGGCGCGGTCATGAATCAATCGACTTGGATGTATTTTGTACTAGTATTGTCTTTGGCGGTGTCGTTGCGAGATGAGTTGAGACACTCTTGACGTGGGACGTGCGTACTACAGTTTGTAGAACAGGACAGATGGAATGTGACAATTGTACACTATGGGAATACTATTTGCAGCAAAAAAAAGGAGTATTGGTATGACGAGGCTGTGACGTGGCATCGATTCAACGTAGCGTTAATCCACAGGCACCATCAGATGTATGCCCATGGGAAGCCTGTCAAATGCCTGCAGATTAGTGCTAAGTTAGTACTCGGAGTAAGCACTTACGGTACCAATACTACTACTGTATGGTCTTGCAACTACTACACGTAGTACTATTCATAGACGTACTCGAATTAGTACAGTACATCCGGACAAAGGTAGTACGAGTCCGACACCGATCTGCTATTATCCGAACCCGGATAACCTTCGTATACAATTTGCAGTATGTTTTACCAGATGTAATGGAGGCCACCAATGCCATATGTAGCCACACCCACGTTCATCGGAATATTGCTGTACAGTACTTAACCAATCAGAATCCTGGCTTTCAAAACGGTGGGTTTGATTTGTCAAAATAATCAATGTTGGCCAATCAAACTTCAAAAAGTCGATTCTACTTCGATTCAAGGTGTCCTTTCCTGTAAGCCTACTGCTTTATTCTACTTGTACTACCGGTAGTACGTACTGTACTGGTACCTAGCTCCTTCACGCCATTGTATGCTGTACAGGAATAATTCCCTCATTAAAACAGTTCCACTGTTGTTTTGACCAATACTAGTATGCTGTTTCAATGAGGGAATTATCACATCCGGATACACACCTTTCCTTGCAACCTGGGACTCCGTCCTACCCCCGGTGAGTACATACGATGCTAAATCTCGGGGGTTGAGGTGGTCTGAGCATACAAAGTTCCATATACATCTTATTGAAACAAGTCTTTCGGGTCAAAACAACAGTGCAACTGTTTTAATGAGGGAATTGTATGCTGTACAGTTCTGAATGTCTTGTCCAGAGTAAGACTGTAGCTCGTTCGACGCTCCGCATTTAACAGTTTATTGTCGAGGCGGTGCGGTGGTTGGACTGTTTGTATCTTCATTGCCAGAAACGTTTGAAGTATGTACTATCTACGCGTCAAGCGCAAGCGTTTGATCGTAATATGAGGCGCATTTTAGAGTTGATTTGAGTGGTGTCAACATTGGACTCGTGGGAATTCTGCCAATTAAATTGGCATGACTTTTCTCGTCGATAAAACGTCCTTCAAACAGTAGAGTGATGGTCTTGTGGTCAGAATGTTGGGACATCTCAACAAACCCGGTATTTTACTATTTACCGGGTATTCGATCCCCAAATACCCGTGATTACGATTCGGAGCAAAATACTGACAGGTTCAAATTTGCCACGAGTTTCGTCGGCATTTCCCATCTTTAGCGGTCCATGGACTTTACCTGGACGATGCAAGCGATCACGAACCGTATTCTCCGCAGCGCCGTAGAAACCTTCATGTGCGTCCCCGTATCCATGCATGCATTGCTTTTCTACGCATCTCATGTCGTCGTAGGTTGAACGGCTCCCGCGCTCGACTCGGGTACGTCAACTCTGTCGTCGCTGCCGGCGGATACCAGTGGTCGTACTTGGAGAAGCATGCTCGCAGCGAACATGACGACGGCGAAAGAGGCGTTGTGGATGCTTCGACCCAACCTGTGGTGGTGTTTGTGCACGGGTTTTCGTCGGAGAAGGACTCGTGGATGAGCGTCGCCAAGCATGTGCCGTCGTCAGCCCGAGTGCTCATCCCGGACCTCCCAGGACACGGCATGACATCTCCAATGCTACCCTCGGGAGACTACCGCGCCATGGCGCAAGTGCGCAACTTGAAATCGTTCCTAGACGCGACGGTCGGCCCCGACACGCCCGTGCATCTCGTCGGGTGCTCCATGGGCGGGTTGATCTCGGGGGTGTTTGCTGCCACGTACCCACATCGGTTGCACAGCTTGACGCTGATCTGTCCTGCCGGTAAGATGGAGATTCATGAAGATATGATGGTGTTGCATCCATCTTGCAGGGCACCCTCCAGATGACGTACGCATGTCGTAGGTGTGTCCATGCCGCGTAAGAGTCCCGTGCTCAAGCTGTACGAGGACGACGGCGTCAACGCCATGCGCGGCGGCACCGTGGACGAGCTCACCGACATGTTCCAGTACATCGCATATCGTCCGCCGGGCACGGCCATGGAGAAACCCACGGGCATGCGACGGATGCTCCTCAGTGTATTTGCCAACTACCGGGTAAAAACCCTATTGGCCATCTAATACCCTTTTACCCACCCTTGATTTATATACCCTTTTACCTATCCTTACGTTTTTCGATCAATCAGGCGGAGCGGATGCCCGTGATGGACAAGGTGTTGGCCGATATGATGGCCGACCAAACCGCGCTGGAGAGCCAACTCCACAAGATACAGGCCAAGACGGTGGTGCTGTGGGGACAGAACGACCAGATCCTGGACGTGTCATGTCTCGAGAGAATGGACGCCCTCAACGCGGAGAAGGTCGTGATCCCGCTCTGCGGACACATCGTGCAGCAGTCGTACCCTGACATTTGCGCCGCCTACATCAATCGGTTCCTAGAGGACACACCGGTAGAAGCCACAGCTGCCATGGCGCTGGCCTAACTTAATACATGAAGAGCTTGTCCATCGTTCTGCCCGCCTAAATCCACACCTACGATGCAGCAGCGGCAATGCACACAACTACCCTCGTGTGTTGTACGTGGAGTGTGCCACATCTGTTGAAGTCGTCTCATCACAGTTGCATACGAAGGTGGTCGTGATGGGAGGAACGGCGAATGGGGCAGCATCCCCCCGCAAGCAACTTGACGTCACATCCATTATTCCTCGCGGCGGTGGACGAATACGTACGGATAAAGTGTTGGAAATGTGAAAGGTCGCGATCTATCCGGATAATTCCATGTCGGATAAGTATTTCGCGGCGAAATGAGCGACCCCGACGACGAGGAGGTGCGTCGATGAATGGACATCTGATGTATGAAGGATGACGATGGGATGTAGAATGGCCGCACAGACTTGGACGACCAGGTACGCTCGCGCTCCTTGAAGCAATAACTGACGTATGTCCTCGTAGAGCATGGACGAAGTGTACGATATGACGGACGACTTGGACGAGAGCGTGGACACGCTTGCGTCCCCCACCAAGGCATCCATGGGTAGGACATACCTACCAGAATATCTCCGTGCTTGATGGATATGTGTAGACATAGACGACGAATCCGATGTGGTTCCTTATCGAAGGAAAGATGCACCCACGAGGAGCGTTCCCGAAGGTAGTAGTACATCAAGGGACATACATGGAACCTCCAGCGACGACGATGACGACGATGAACCGCCCGAGATACCTGGCAGTCCTATGAAACCAGCATCCACGGTAGACATGGGAGCTTTCTCTGGTCTTATGGTCTTATGCACGTGCCAATATATATATAGGGACAGGCGACTACACACAACTCGAATGAGTCTGCAGAAGTTGAGGCCACGATGGATGGCGAGTCGTCTTCTTCGGAAGAGGAGTACGAAACCGACAAACAAAGCCGCAAAGATCGAATCAACGACCAGCGACGCTCGATCGCTAGTACTACTACTAGTAGTACACAAGCAAGTACTACTAGTAGTAGTAGTAGTACAACATGCACTGTTCGTACTGCCACCACCACGTCACAAGACAACACACAAGCCCAACCCAAACAACACAGTGTCCAGCCTGCCGTTCGAAAAACTAGTACTACTAGTAGTAGTACTAGTAACAGTCAAAATGAAGCCATGTACAAAGCCGTGGCCAACAAGATGATGACTAGCCCAAGCGATGCCAAATTCACATACAAACAACAAGTCGAAAGCGATGCCAAAGCCAATTCACCCACGATCCCAATAGCATCGACCTCCAAATCGCCCACTAGTATTACTAGCACCTCACGTGGAGCTACTACAGCGTCGAAGGCCTCGGACTTGAACTTTCCGCCCGAAATCTTGCAGTTGCTCCAAGTATTTTTACCGCATATATATATATATATATATATATAATATTTGTTTTGTAGTTTGTCGACGACTTTCACCCAGAGACGATTGAAATCCCAACTATTGTACAGCCGTTCGTCCCAGAATACATTCCAAGCATTGGCTCGCCTTACGAAGGCGTCCATGTAATATTTCTATATATCGCATTTAACGAAATGTTAAATATTTATGATATATAAAATGCCTAGGTGCTTCGGCCAGACAACATGGACGACCCGATTGGACTGGTGGTTCTAGCGGAACCACATGCCATGCAGTCGAATGTGGCAGGTACGAAATATATTTATAATATTAGAAATATATTTCTAATATTTCATTGCTAAGTTGATTATATGATGACTAGAGCTGCAATTAATGCTGAAAGCCGACTATAAATCTGTGCATGCCCGTTGGGAACTGTCAGTCTTAAGCATCGAAAATGCCCACGAACGACCAGATGCCATCGATGCCTGGATTAACAGCGTCTCAAAGATACACCAGTCCCAGCCGCTGTGTCAGGTAATATATTCAAAAAGAATATATCGAAATATTTAAAAATACAGCTAATGTTTTTACTGGGGATGGCGTTAGGTGCATTATACGAGGCCGTTTCCTGCAGTGGAAGTGCTCATGGAAGTTTGGCCGTCCGAGGTTGAGGCAGCATTATCCCAGGTTGGAAATATATATTGTATTTTTTCGAGTATTTTTTATCTATAAATATATTTATTTATTGAGGCAGCATTATCCCAGGTTGGGAATATATCGTATTTTTTCGAGCATCTTGTATCTATAAATATTTATTTATTGATATGGATATATAGATCAAGCTACCATCGGCAGCGTTGGATGTATCGGTGGATGAGTACAGTCGAATTGTATGCGGTCTGCTGGACATTCCAGTGTACCCTTGGCACATTCGAGAAAGCCTCCACGTACTTTTCACACTGTACCAAGCCTTTCACGAGAATCCCCACTTTGCCCAGTATAAATAGACACAGTAGTATTATTTTTAGTCAATAGAACAACCAATTTTGAGAGCATACTGGAAAAATACTATTACAGCCAACTCTTCGGACCCTAGGCATATATCTTCTCCCAGGACTTGTTAGGGAAGGGGTCGAGTTGCTATAATGTATACATTGTGTACCTTAGAAGACCAATTCTTTAGGGCCACTCTGGCTGCCACAACAAATGTCAGGAAACTCCCCATTTTGTCAACTATTCAGAAATATTATAACTTTTCAAACGACAGCTTTTGTGTGTTTGGTTACCAAATCTGACATATTATAAATTGACTGTGACATATTACATCGATTTTTTACGCTTTTGACAGCAAATAGTTTAAACTGCAACTGACCAATATTTACCTAAATAATATTCTATGTCAGAGGGTTGGTATCGATGCTACCCCATAAAATTATGCCATAAACCGTTTTGGCCAAGTCTCATATCCCATGAATAAAAAGAGGAGAAGTGAAGTATCTACAAATTTGTCTGGATTCCAGTTGAATTGTGGAAACATTATTCGATTAGTCAAGACTTCAACGTGAACACAAAGAGGTTGGGCCAAATCGGTCCATTTCTTTTATGCCATAAAACACCCGATTCCCGAGTAAATTGTGGCATATTGTATTGAACTTTTGTGGCATCCAGACGCACGAAATTTCGTAAAACAGAATATTTCGATTTGGCAACTTTTCTTGGAAAAAATGCCAATTTATGCCATTTTTCGTGGCATCTAGACCCGGCCAGAATAATATTGGCAAAATATTTATTAATACCATATAAAATTATTAATGAATATAAAATACTTTTAGAATTAGAAATAGCTTTATCAACAATACATACAGCCATAAAAGTGTCTGACTCGCCCTTAGTATTATCATAATAAAAACATAGATCCTGTAGACAGAGGGTTTATATCATTGGACGACAGAATACTACTAGTATATACTTTATTTCCTACAGCCACGTTTAAAAAAAAGCAGTCCGCCCAGTATATATAAAGTACTCCTAATCTTTGTATCGGGGTTTCGGGGTTAATTGTATTTTTGTTGTATTATATGTGGCTATTAAGAGTTTGGACCAACTCCGCCGCCGTGGGGCGTTGGGCTGGGTCGAATGCAAGGCACTTCGTTGCCATGTCTTGGACCCAGGATGGAAACGGCGGCGCCGCGTGGAACGACGGCTTTAACGTGCCTGCGATGATTTGGGTCATGATCGATTGGGGACTCGGCCGTTTTCGGTTCATTTTATCTGCATACGGGAGCATGTGTGTGCACAATTCCCACAAGATCACTCCTGTGTATCATCGTTACTTGATATTATATATATATATATATATATATTGATACCATAGAACTGAAATATATACATTAGGAAAATACCAATACAGGATTATGTAGTCCAAAAAGTACATTCATATACATACATCCTACACAAAAGAACTAAAGCAACCCACAGGAAAATAAATTTAAATATATATATATAAAAAAACAAATTAAAATATTTATCGTTCATATACTGTATATATTATATATATGTATATATATATGAATATATATGTAAACAAATCAACCAAAACAATATACACAGAAAAAAATATATATCGACTTGCGCCACGTACCAAATGAATACACGTCTGCGGCGGTATCAACCGGCTGTCCCGCGAGGCGCTCGGGGGCCGCCCATTGAAACCACATCGCAGATGCTGCAAAATCGACCGGTTTTACGCCCAAAACAGCCAATTTTGTGCCTTTTTTCGAGTCCAGGAGGACATTTTTCGACTTGAGATGGCCGTGGACATGCGGAATCGTATGCAAATAGGCCAAGCCGTGCAGAATGCCCCGCACGACGTCGCACTTTTCTGGCCAGAGGTACGTGGCGGGCGAATGGGTGGCCAGGAATGCTCGGAGGTCGCCCGTGTCCATAAACTCGACGACGAGCTCGAAATCTGCGACAGCGTTTTGAGCCCACGAGACCCCGATGAATGCGACAAGGTGGGCGTGGCGCAACGTAGCGAGCAATGTGACTTGGTCGATAAAGGCAGTGATTTGGGCGTCGGTTGAGTCGGGGGATTCGGCAGCCATTTTGATGGATTTGATCGAAACTTTGGTGCCGTGAAAGGTGCCGCTCCAAATGTCCATATGATACTCGTTATTGTGGGCTACAATGACGGGGTACTTGGAAGTTTTGATAACGTCAGCAGACGCCAATTGAAACGGGCGCAATTTAGAAAGTACGACTGGGGGTTGTGGATTGGGATGGTGGAGGGGGAAATATCCCCGTCGACGCCGGCGCCGTTGGGACGATTTTTGCCCCATCCAGGCCAACACGACCAGGACAGTTCCCACCATGATACATCCCACCCACAACAAACTCGTCCCTAAGGAGGAAAATTCCCACACCATATTAAATATACAACCGGCAACTCTATATGAGGAATAAATCCCACAACAACAACATGATGGAAGCATACAGTACAGTAGGAATTTTCCCACGCACAAATCTCCTGTAACAAAACCAACCAAAAACGAATCCTTAGTATACTAACTACTTGACAACATCCTTTCAAAGGAATTTTTTGGTCTTGGTAGTAGTACTAGTACGACTACTAGTAGTAGTAGTACATACCACTCCACGGCAACCCATGGTACACGTTATTGGGAACCACACACACGGGAAAGTCGCCAGCATTTCCATGTGCCCACGGGTACTTCACTGTGCCATGTAGTAGCTGGCATGCAGTGCGGTTAACAGTTACTGTCGTGTTCGAGACGCGGTAACCGTAAGGTTTGCCGTTAACTAAGTGAAAACGCGGCAGATTCCGAAGGGCTTGGAATGATGACGTGTCCAACGTGATATTGGACACTACTACCATCATATTGGACAGACCGCTACCAACTGGTTAGTATGTACTAGTAGTAATACTAGGAACGCACGTACAAGTACGTGAGCCGCGATTTGGAGAGCTGGACAAACGCCACCGTGGTCAACGGGTTGCGCCCCAATTCGCTACGAAACGAGAAATATAGTATTCTTCTTTAGTAATAGTATCGATATATATATATATATATATATATATATATATATATATATATATTAATAGAATGTAGATGAAAGATAAATTATTTCATACAAGAGGATGAATAATATCTATATCTATATACTATTGAGAGAATATACATATATACATATATTAATAGAATGTGAATGAAAGATAGATTATTTCATACAAGAGAATGAATAATATATATCTACATACTATTGAAAGAATATACATATATATACTACAGTAGTATATTAATAGAATGTGGATGAAAGATAGATTATTTCATCTATCTTTCATCCACATTCTATTAATATTCTCAATATATACTATTGAGAATATATATATAAGTAACTTACAGGTATGTCAGGTCGCGCAAGTCGAGCGATGTCAGCGCTTGAATTGAGTTGTTTATAGCATTGCTAAGCAACTTTAAGATGAAAATTCCAAAGGGAGTAAAATCGACGTACATGCCACCGAGGCCTGGCGGAAGTGACTTGAAATCGCTCAGGTAGTTGTGGCGGAACGCGCTAATACATACAGATATGAAGGAATTCATAAATATATATATATATATATATTATATGAAACGGGAGATTATTGGATAGCTTACAGCAGCTGGATACCCGCAGGCAAATTCGGAGGTATGGCGTCTAATTGGTTGGAATCCAAACCACTATAATATAGGCGTGAACATGTCGTGAAACAGTGTCACACATACACTCGATTGAGGTTGGATGGCCATGAAAACGACGAAGGAATAGCCTTCAGATTACAGTTGACAATGCGCCTATGACGGTCGAGATAAGAACTACGGGTAATATCAAGTCAGACTGTACAGAGTGGTCACAGTCGGCGGCAACGGCGTCGGGAGCTGGGACAAGTCCAGGGCGGTGATGTTCTCGATGTTCCTAGATGCAAATAGATCGTAAGGGGCGAAAGAAGACTACCGCGGGAGGTTACAGGTATTCGACCGCCTCGGGTACTTGGAACTGACCAAGGTCCAGCGTTGCAGCGTTGGTCAAGGCCCTACGACAACACATGGGAGAGACTGCGGGGAGGATGGGCTCGTACAGGTAGCTGTTCTTGTAGTTGGCCATGTTCCCCACGGCAGTGATGTTGATGAAACCCGTCACGTCTGCGGAGAACGACCGAAGCACTTCGCATGTCATCCGGCTGACTTCACATGAGGCGGCAGCTGTTGTCGCGCAGACCGAAGGGTCGGAAACGAGGATGCTGCTACCGCCCTTTGCGTCCATGTAAGGACACGAAGAGGAAGGAGGTGCTGGTGTCGTGATCTTCATGACGGCGGTAGGCGCGGGAGAGGCGCTTCGATTGGACTCGGTAGACATGGCGGCGGTAGCGCAAATAGTGGGTGGATTTCATTACTGTATCGGTAGGTACCTACAGTACTTTTCATGAAATTCACTGAAATGCAACTCTGAAATAATTTGATAAATTTTTCAAATTCTATTAAATATTTCCCAATTCCAGAGGTCAAAGTGTTGTATCATGTTTCGAAGGTTATGCATTCCCAAATGTTCGTTTTCTAGAGATATGATACGTACTTTTCGTGAAATTCACTGAAAAATGTGAAATTATTTGATCAACTCTTCAAATTATATCCAATTCCAGAGGTCCAAGTGTCATATCATATTGCAAAGGTTATATGTTCCCTCCGGGTTGATACCTAGTCTGGAAGCTTTTACCGTACCTACGATTGATATTGCTTTGTACAGTATATGCATTGCAACAGTACTTTCGAATTCATTAGCTCCGAGTTCAACTGGGATACAGTACGTTAAACCTTGTCACTGAACGAGCCAGGCCACGGCAGTTCTGGGGCTTCGGGGTGCGCAACTCGGTCCTAACAGTAAGTAGATGCAATTACACAGCTGTGAACCAGGATCTGTAGGTTCACTTACAAGCTTATTGCACGTGGCTATATTCCTGGAAAAGTACGGCGTGTCCACGTCAGGACATTGAAACTGGAGCACAAATGGGCACTTCCTCACGACATCTTCACACAGAGATACACACATCTATACCCAAACCACACAGTAAGCCTGGGCGATCGTTCATAACGAAGGCGTGCCCGAGCGCGAGTGACGAGGTCGCACGTGGATGAGGCCGTGTCGTTGATTGCATTGCGGGGATTCCAGGGAGGGCAAGTGGCCGTGATGTTGTGGGCGATGCCGCCGCACTTTTGGAACTTGGCGGCGCAAACCCAATACTTGTATGCGTCCCGGCAGTCCGAGCACGTGTACATGCTGTACGTGGTGCTGCAGCCAAAACGAAGAAGAATCTACCATGTAGAGATGATTGCGATCGAGTGTCTTGAACGAACGACATGACCAACCTGGTCGACACTGTCGTAGTGAGTCTTGGCCTCGGCATCGGCAATGGATCCTGTGGGGTCGATGGCGACGTCCAACACTGCCGCGTAGTCCACCTACTCCACGATAAGCGCGTCGGAAGCATACGCAGGGGAACAGACCATGGAGCAGAAGGCAAGAGAGTTCTGACGGATGCGGACACATGCGTCATTAGCTTGGACCAGATGTGCCGCCAAGACACACCACAGCCATGTCAGTCGCCACCCCATTCTAAAATGTAGTTTTGACGGTTTCATTTCGTCCAGGAAATAGTGTTGGATAGACTCCTTTTTAGCCAATCAAACGCGACGGTTCATGGAGGTGTTACATATTTTTAATATAAAATAAGTATGTCATAATTTAAAACGATAACCTCGAAATATAGCGTCAAGTTAACATTAGTTAACATCAATGTTTATCATAATTTATGACAATAATGTTAACGCTATCCAGACGTACATTACTTTGTCGTTGAATGGTCAGCAACGGCTTATCTGGGCGTGATACATTTTTCATATGAAAACTGAAGAGGTGTGTGGCGATTGCACTTATTTAGCATGCGTGAAGTGACCTCAAACATGCCAAAAAACTGAAATATAGCTTACTTTGGGTGTGATTATATCTCCCGCAATAAGCATCGTAACACCGTCCATGCTGCTTTATTACGTAGTATCAATGCTGCTGTACATGCTACCATGTTTTGCGTTGATCGGTGATCTCTGAGCCACGAAGCAACACATTAAAGACACATTTTGGCGAAAACATAGCGCGAAACATGACAAACAATTATTGTCATCTTGAGCTATAATTTATAGCATACATTGATATGTTATGTTATAATTTTCTAACATTTAAATACCATATTTTTAAAAGATCTGCAACCTTTTTGTGTGAAATCAAGCAACTCAGCACAATCGATTGAGGACCATTCGAATCCTTCAAAATGGCAATTAAAAGCTGTTCATGTTGCTTTCTTCCTCAAGCTGAACTAGATTTGATTCTAGCGTGTTGTATGGTGATGATGAACAACGTCCTGCCATATCGTATGAGGATTGTAAAGTTGATAATTTCCCCCCGCCTCCCGTTGTTTAAAATAATATAAGTCGGATTGAAGATAAAACAACGCTAAACCCTGCATTTCAGCAGAATAAAGCAACCCTTACTTTATTTCAACCGCTAACTACTGTAATCGAGTTGCAGCTATGCAGTGCAATCACCAGTTCCTCACAATGCATACCGTACAGTATTAGGATGTGAAATGGGAGTACTATTTATCGTGTAGGTGTAGAGCGCCCTTACTTTCCACGTACAGTACTACCGTTAGTACAGATCAAGTGTTGTAGGTATGGCATAGCTTTGAAGCATTGGACATAGCGACGACTCGTTATAAATTATATCTCGGAGTAGTTAATGTTTGTAGTGATCACGGATGGGAGGTCATGTAGCTGCTTCAGTTTCATTGCGGTACTGTAAGCTCCTTGACGTGTTGACGTAAAACAAGGTGTTTGCCAGAATGAAAACAGCAAACAACTTGTTTTACGAAGTGCCTGCAGCAAACAACTTGTTTTACGAAGTGCCTACAAAACCACCTTCAACCAACCAATCATCGCATTAGATGAAGTAATTAACTGTGAACAACCGTTATTCAAGTTACTTTACTGTTAGACGGTAGAGAAATTTTTAAACAATATGAATTTAATCCTGGAATTGCCAAAAAAGGTGCAAAGCACAATAATAAATAGTATTTCTATTATTATACTATTAATAGTATTATAACAGTACTATTAATATAATACGTAGTACTGGTATTAATAATCATAGTCCAAACTATTTTTTTGATTGATTACGCGACGCAATATTTCGTTTTCGTTTTCACAGTCAGCACACATAAACCAGCTTCTCTTTGCACTTTCCAATTGCCGCCGCTGTCGCTATTATTAATAGTAACATTAAGCACAAAACAGACACGACTGCACTACTGTACAGTACAGTAATTACTACTAGTACTCCTGTGTATTAATAGGAGTACTAGCATCCTACAGTATTGTAGTACACTAACATACGAAATCTGGTCCAAATGTCAAGTACTATACTGTACCGTAGTAGTACTTGACAAGTACGAGCTTTCAGCTCAAACTCAACTACTGTACTCCAGGTTAAAGAAACGGCGCTATAATGTGCGCACGTTCTACTGCCTGGCTCGACCGAGCATGCCCCTCAAAGCACTTGACTCGAGTAAGGATGGTTGTGGCAGGCCATTCAGAGTGTTTTTGCCCTGTATAATACTGAGTTAGCATAAGCATAGCTACTGTAAAGATATTCAATCAAGACTGTCAAGCCCACCACGAGATGGAGAACCAGCTCATCGTGGAATCAGACTCTTGATATGTCAACGTGACGAGATGTGCGCGATTTATGGCGCGATTGCAAACCGAAGGCGGAGAATCGTTGAATCTGATGGTGCATTTGCATTGAATAGGTTACATGACTGACTACCTGTGGTAAACGCGAATTTTTTAGTCGTTCTTGTAGTAAACTTTATGCTCGACCTCGTGGTAGTTTAACAGGTCAACTTACGAAGGCCACAAGTACTAGTACGTCCTAGTACTACGTAGACTAGTACATGAGTACTTAAGAGTACTAGTACTTCAGAAATCTTCAGTAGTCCATCAAGTAGTACTACGTAACGTAGATGGCCAGTTTATGGTGCACGGGACAGTTTAAAGTGCACTCAAAATGACCAATGGAATTGCTTGAATTCATGAATAGCCAATCGAATCGCTAGAAATATCAAATCACTAAAAAAGAAGCAAAACCCGCATACATTTTTTAAGCTTAAACCGTGCACCATAAACCGTCCCTCCTATTTTGCCTTGACTTAAAGTTAGTGGAAGTCGAAGTAAATAAACGCTAAGCTGAAGTCTATTCAAGCCGTTTAACTGTAAATAATCAGAAGAATGCCCAGCCTTTCGGCTTCATGCAGCACTTTTCAGAATTGAAATCCCGGCCCTGAGACACGAATTAGGTGCATTCAACGACGAGGTCACTTTCAAGTGCACCATATATTTGGCCATTTACGTTAGTAGTAATTAACAGTTACCTGGTACTGAAACACAACATGGTTGTATTAATACAATAGGGGCGGGTGGTTGCAATTCCACCACGCGTCGCCATCCGTGGAAGTGTCGGGCAAGCAGTGGGCAACGAGATCAAAGTCCAAGAGCACGTCCAGGTCGTGGTCTTGACTAGCGCAGCTCGCGGAACTCCTACTACTACTAGTACTACTACTAGAGGTAGTACTACTCGTGCTTCGTTTGCGGGTAATAAATGTCGCCAGGGCCGGGTCGTGGCGGCAAAAGTGCGCGTTGGAGAACGTGCACACCTTGGACTGCCGTTTGGTCCACTTCTTGAAGTGAAAGTAGTTGAGTTGACGTTGAAAACTCGAGTATTTGCCATGTTTAAAGTACTTTGGCAGGACCGAGTGCGTGAACCGAGCCATGTCGAGTACTTGGAAGGCGGCGCTGTCAGATGTCCATCGCAGGACGTCGGGGTTTTCCGAGTCCAGCATGATGCGCAGTGTCACAAGGAACGGCGCAGTGCCAGCCATGACCGACGGAGACATGGGGGAGTGGCTTGTGGGCAGCATTGGCTTGCCAGTGGAGGTCGCCAACTGTGTACGAGTGGATACAAGCGCTGTGGATGGCATGCTCTGGTTGGTGTGTGTACGGGGTAGTAGTTTGGGAAATGAGCAGTGCGTACAACTAACGCATCCAAAGCCGCTGCATAGCACACACGCGTGTTTGGTTAAATTTGAATAGTCCTACGGTTTCATTTGGTTAGAAATGTTACGGTACAGTTGACAGCCTCACGCCAGAATATACGAGATACTATTTACTCTTCACGAGACACAGATATCACGTAGTACGCGACGCAAAATATAGCATTTTCCTTCGTCCTCGTTCAACTGGATTGGCATTGGGTGGTATGTCATGGGCATAAACTACTTCACCGCAACATAAACCCAAGTAACTACTACCAGTAAGTAAAACTTAGTATGAAACTACAGCTACGGTAGGTAGGTCCTTGGAAAGATGACACATGTTAGAATCCTATACATGCACAGGTGTATTTGACATTTTGGACCAAAGCACGCGAGCTGAAGTAGCAACGATGCAAGTCGGACTGACGTACTAGTACCAAGAAGGACTCACACGGGATTAACATACTTGAAGTAGTACTATATTACGTTGAATTGTCCATAAGATCCACAACAAGCATATTTCGTGACCAATCCATGGCGAGCCATGTCCAATCAATGTTAACCCTAATAGTGACGACAGTACTGAGTACTGTACTGTACCGACTTAGGTAGTATTCAAAGTAGCCTCAGAGTATTGGACGGTCGTGTTTATGTTCGTTGCGGTTCGCTGCTTTGTTTGCTCTCTTGGGGTAGCAAAGCGGATTTTATGATAGAGTGGCCCAATCTACCTATCGTTGTCATGTGATGTGCTTGCTTGACTTTTGTGGCAACTTCACAATTATTGTTAACGTTACGCTTGCTTGACTTTTGTAGCACCGATAAATTAGCCATTCTTGTTAAGGTTACGTTAAACCTAGGGAATTTAATCACTGGGAGATGCAGGAAATGAACGAAAACTCGCGATTATCTCGCATGTCGACTAAGTCTGTCCTTCATGCAACATGCTAACATTATTTCAAAATGTTGACTTCATACGTGAAAACACGAGGATGTTGGGATGCAAGTACAGTGGTGGTGTATACCGGTTTGCCAGATCTCCGACACCTCCGTTATGTTCACCATGCCTTTGATATATTTCGTCTAGTCCCTGCATCGATGCAGTATATTTCGACAAATCGGTACTAGTATACTACTATTTCGCACGCTGTTCAATATATTTCAAATGATGTCCCATCTATTTCGATTTTAGTGGTGGATAGCGCTTTGAACTTGTCTTATTCATAGATATGAGTCGACGTGAATCTTTTATAACCTTACACCTTGAAGCTTGAGTTGTTCTACGATCTTGTCGAAAACGCGGGTGACATGGAAGTTAGCGCCGGATGAAGTATTAATAGTGCCTAGCTTTGCTTGATTTGCATCTAAAATCGAAATGGATGGAACATCATTTGAAATAAATCGAACAATGTGTGAAATATACCGGCCATTTGTCGAAATATACTGCAGTGATGCAGGGTCAGGACGAAATATATCGAATGTTCCGCGAACGTAACGCATCTACAGTAGTATGGCGTGAATCAGCTGCGCGTCGGACGAAATATACCTGGAAAAACCTGAACTTAATGCCCCGGATGGTACATAGCGGTAATTTTATGAAGAGTTAGGACCTACGCCGGAGTATTACTGTACGTAGTACTAGTACCTAATTAGGTACTAACAGTAAGTACTTACGTTTATTAGAAGTACTCTGGAAATGTACGACGGTAGTACCTACCAGTAGTACTAGTACAGTACAGCACCAAATTTGAGCTATTTTGTACTGGTATGGTACTCGTATGCTTGAGTTCAGATTAGGGCGTATATACTACCGTTAGTATAGTACTAATTTTAGTAATATGAGTACAACTACATTAGGACCCGAGTACAGTACTCCAGTACTACTGTATTATTACTGTAAGTTGCTCGGAGTACTACGTAGTACTACCGTAGTACTAGTACCACTGTACCTCAAAGTATTAAAGTATCGAAATAACATATGTTGCACGACGTAGTACGAACGTGGGAATATCGTTGATGAATTTTGCCACAGCCATAGAATTCGCTGACGAGCTATGTACACAAAAATACGTCAGGGCTCATAAACATGCACACGAGATTGCAAGTAGAGTACTTCGAAGTACTACTATTAATAGTACTTAGTACTTGTACCAATACTACGTACTAGTAGTACTAAGTTAGGGATTGTACTACAGTAGTATGTGAGTAAGTGATTTCCACACTTGTATTATTAATAGTACGATAGCTACTGCAAACGCAGTTGAATTGATTCATTTGAATTTAAATATAATTCCAGGCACTCGTAGCCTACACCACCAAAAGTGTCCGCTTGTCAGTTAAAGCGTCTACAGCGCCATGTGGTTCACCCATCAGTTCAAAATGAACAAGCCACTCCAAGTCGGCGTCAGTGAGAAGGTCTTCGATTGAATCGTCAATCAGTGGCGACGAGGAGGGTGGTTCGATATTAGCCATTTGGATGGAGTGTGAGCTGTCCTTGCGGGAGCGCTTCCTTGTGATACACAGGCTCAAGAGGGGGTCATCTCTCGTAAAGTGGGTGTTGGAGAACGTGCACACGTGCACGAGGCTCTTGGTCCACTTCTTGAAGTGGAAGTAGTTGAGCTGGCGCTGGAAACTCGAGTATTTGTTGTGCTTGAAGTAGTGCGGCAGCACGGCGGACGTCAGCGCCTCCATGTCGATGATCTCAAACGCCAGGCCATCCGGTGTCCATCGAATGATGTCATCGCTTTCATAGGTCAAGATCGTCCGCAGAGTCCGCAGGAAGGGGGCAACTTCACGGTCGTTGTTGTCGTCGGACGTGTGGCTGGATGGAGATGATGTGACAGGCATGATCCAAATCGGAAAATGAAGTGTCTGACAATAATATATGACAAGGGGTGGTTTGTCAGTTGCGTTTATAATACATGATAAATATAGTACGCCAGAGATCTGGCTACTTGGATAACAGACCGAAACGGCTTTGTTGTAATGTACAGTAACTAGTATGCAAGATTTCGAAGGTGGGAGGTTGCGCTCATGAAAAACGGTTGGCTATGTAGTTTGGTGTCAGTGAACCTACTGCAGTGAGGCCGCTGGGTGTGATCTGTGGCACCGACAGATCTAGTTGAATGGGAAGTAAATTGTCACTCTATTGCGAAACCCGAAACCCCGAGGCTAGCTAGGTAACGTTATTACAACTGAATTCCCCAATGAACCATTCCACTACCATCGCATTGCAATGGCATAGAAATATAGATTCTACTCCGATTATACTGTAATGCTGCAAAAAGTACTAGTAATTACTACTAGGGAGTAACTAGTTAACTTCAGTTCTTGTTTTCGCCCATCTTGGATGTTTTTGCGTCGCTGGATCTCAAGATCTCCTCAATATAGGAACTAGCGTACGAACTCTCGTCGAAATGATTGGTGGGTGGAAGAAGTTATCTGCTCAACATTATTCTCATACTAACGTTAGTACAAAGGAGCGTTTTCTATTCTGTAGCCTGTTACTACAGTAGTATGAGTCCTGCATTTTTACTGTACTACTTCAAAGTTCGTGGTATTGTACTACTAGTACGTAAATTTATTTACAGGTAGAACGTCAAAATTCCATAATATCACCTGCGTGTAATTCTAGGCGTTTCGACATCAAAAAATTTGTTGCATAATACATGGCCACGTGATGACCTCCTACTGTTGACTGGATTGGGTTCGGTGTGCCGATTGCGAGTCTGACCTCACAATTTGGCACAGTACATCACCGTTTACATCGTCAACCATTTTGGTGCACTCACGACCAGTGTACAGACAGTACCAGTAACTTAGAGTACTCCGAGTACTTTAACTTATACGGTAAGTACTTATTCCGGTGAATTTAAAGTAACACGTTAGATGTGTACGGCATAGGAGCTCCATTGAAACGACCATACTTCATACTAAGTAAGTACAGGCAAAAGCATGTTCAAGGTATGGACTTGGTAGCTACAGTTGAGTAAGAGGTCGCATAGTCGTCCCGCGGGGGTGTTGCCATAATAGGGTCGATTCAGGACCCATGGCAGAATACCCAGTGAAGAATAGAGGTCAACTAGGAGGTACTCAACCATGGAAGCCGAATGGGGGTACATGATGTCGTACGGGTGCCCTGGCGGGCCAAGAAGCATTGAAATTCCACCGGCATGTGAGCATTCAAGGCCCCCCGGAGGTGGGAGGTCACGTCTGACCCCAGGCGTCTGTAAGGTTTGAAGTGTGGTTAGGGTTGTGGCCTTTTGTAGGTGTTTTACAATTGGAGTCTGTCCCCTGAGGTGTGGGGGGTCGTGTGGGGCGCCATGTACGGCTTTGGGCGGAACACAATGTAGCAGTTCCCCTGGGGCCCTCTGGGTATAACGAACCCGGAGAATACCATATATTTTCGATCGTTGTCGTGTAATGAGGGGGGATAAAGGGCCAGGATAGCGAGAAATTTTGGATGAGGCGAAGGCGTCTGAGAAGGTATCGTGGGCGGAATATATGGTCGCGTATTCAGTCATTTGCCTGGTTATGCCACAGAAGTTTCCGCCGCTTGTGGCGTGGACGAGGGAGATTTGAAAGGTTGTGGGGAAATGAAGCCGCGAGAATAATGCGTTCAAAAGAATCACAATATTGACTGGTTGGGGTTACAGTCCAAGTAGCAACGTGGTGTGGAGGGGAAAGCTCCGTAAGCCCCCTAAAGCGTATCCCGTAGGTGGTGGTGGATGGCTGATGGAAGAATCGCATGTATGCATTTGTATGGCCTTCCGACGTGTTATGAAGGCATAGAATTTTGGAACCTGCGCGAGCACAAGCGCGATTACAAGATAAGAATAACGTTTGGTACACTTGTCGATAACTAGCCCATATGATTTCATCAGTTCAAAATGAACGAGCCACTCCAAGTCGGCTTCAGTGAGCAGATCTTCGATTGAATCGTCAATCAGTGGCGACGAGGAGGGTGGTTCGATGCTAGCTAATTTGATGGGGTTTGCGCTGTCCTTGCGGGATCGCTTCCTTGTGATACACAGGCTCAAGAGGGGATCGTCTCACTTCAAAAAGTGGAAGTAGTTGAGCTGGCGCTGGAAACTCGAGTATTTGTTGTGCTTGAAGTAATGCGGCAGGACGGCGGACGTCAGCGCCTCCATGTCGATGACCTCGAACGCCAGGCCATCGGGTGTCCATCGAATGATGTCATCGCTTTCATAGGTCAAGATCGTCCGCAGAGTCCGCAGGAAGGGGGCGACTTCACGGTCGTTGTTGTCGTTGGACGTGTGACTGGATGAGCTTGGAGGTTGGTGAGAAGATGTGCAATGCATGATTCGATTCATATGTGAAGTGTCTGAAAAGCGATTACCGAGTGATGGTGATCAGCCGTTCGGAAGTGCGTCAGAGGTGTGGCTACTTGAAATCAGACCAGAAGTGTTGTATTCATGGTATATTTAGGTACACATTTCGATTTCAAAGGAGTAAGGTGGTCAACAAGGTGCAGTTTTAACGTACCCGGGACTCCATGTCTTAGGAAACGACGCAAGAGTGCTTCCCCGAGAGCAAAACTGTGGCTTAGGTGATCATTTCCCTTCAAAGAGCCGAGAAATTTGGAGCTTCGGAATCCCCGGGCCACTTGTGTTGCTATTCCTGGGTAGTTAATTCTGCTAGCTGCTAATGCAGCTAGTACGCGGCCGATGCAATTAAGTGCCCGCTGAGCGATTTTAACTTTACAGCGTAATATCAATAACGTTATCAATATTGTGTTGCTATTCCTGAGTGGTGAGCTATCGTTAACCACTGAAATGCATATATAACCCCTAGCTGGGAATGTGTTGTTTTGGTTTACACTGCACTTGACTAACAGTAAGGCATACGGAAATAATTGCTACTGTAGTACGTGAGAAACTGTGAAAATTGTAGCTCCCAGGGAATTAGTCTGAAGAGAAGTGAAGCGAGCATTGGCAGTGAAATGGGCAATTTAAATATAGAATTTACGCCACCACAGTGAACGAGGGTATTTAAGCTGTAAGCAATACTGCCAGGCGAGTTCAGGTATCACTACCCTCGCCATTGATTTTCCATCGACCAACAAATCTAGATGGAGGCGTGGCCGGCCATCGGCACTCACTGCCTGTGTTTTGTTACAGCTACCGTACAACTATTTCTACATAGTAGTACTTCGAAGTATTTAGTATTGTGAACTTTTAAAAACGATTAGTGTTGGACTAGAAGCATAAGAGAACTAACAGAAACCCCGTAATCCCTAAAGTACAGTACAACAATAGACCACCAAACTTGAGACTAAGTTTTTCACCAACCATCGACTATTTTACAATTTGAGAAAGAACGTTTGTTTGTGACTTTATCAAAAGCAAATGATGAAGTCAATTGTTAAAAACACACGCAAACATCTCACCACTTGAACAAGGATCGCCTGACATGTGGTACTGTCTGTCATTGATCAAGGTAAAATTGCATTTGGAAATCACTCGATCATTTCCGATCAGACAACATTTCGTTCGTTGAATATTGAGCAGTCTAGCGAAGTGATTCGTCATCGCATCTAAACTCCTTGAAGAGAATACTTCTCAAAACTGATAGATTAAAACTTGAATAATGCGATAAAGGCCGCCAAGTCCATCAAAATCGATGCTAATA